TGAAAATATTCAGAGGTCCCCTAATGGGAGGCTGCCGATTTGGCCCCCACGAAACCCAGAAGAGGCCCCAACGAAACGCGGAGGTTCACGCGGAAATCAGAGGTTCACGCGGAGGCCTTGTGTTTCGTGAAACCAGAGGTTCACGCGGATGGCCCGAAGCGTCACACAAACACAGACACCGACTGGCGTCACACCAACATTTCAATACTGCGTGTGCGTCGCCCCCCACGGGCGGCGCGCGCGCCGAGAAGTCTTGCAGCACGTGTTTCGTGGCTGGCGCTTTCTGGCCGTACGGCTCGGGACACGGTATGCTACAGGATCGTAGTACTATATGCTCAGGTCGGACGCACGCCTCCAGGGAGCACACGCAGTACGAGTAGGTCCTTGTGTTGCGCGGTCCTTCATGGGAGCCTCAGAGGGGTCCCAATGTTGCTTGCGGTTTCGTGGACTGCGTTTTGGATCCGTCGCATTTTGTCGACATCTGGACGAAATCTGGACGACATCCGAACGACGGGGCGACGAGGGGTGGCAGAAACCTGGACGAAACCGGGTCGAGACCGTCTTCACGACAGGGCCGCGGAGGGCCACAGAGGCTCCCTTCGAAGGCGCGCTCACCGCACCAGGATGTCCCTGTGCGTCCCATCCGACGTCGAGACTCGTGCAAGACGCGCTCAGAACAGCGGACTCGAAACTCAAGTCGGGCCTGTCCCTCTACAGGAGGCATGTTCCAAAATCATTTTAAAAAACGTATGCGGGGACGATTTGCTGATCATCTCTGAGTTCTTGTTCGAGTTTGTGTTGTTGGGGGGCGCTATCTTTTGTAAATCTTCGTCGACAATCCCCCTGTGGGAGGACACGCCCGACCTGACACCGAAACGAAGCCGTGGGTGCGGGGGGCGCTCGGCGGGCAGAGCCGGAGCCCGCAGCCCCCGTGGCTCGGCAGGCCGCCATGCCCGCTCCCGCGGCGGGGCACCCCGGCGCCCCGGCGCGGCGCGCGGGGCGGTGAGCGCGGCCGTGCAGAGGGCGGTGCCCAGGCACCCGGGAGGCCTTGAGCTTCGCAGCGCGGGGGGCCCAGAGATCTGGACCTCTTCCCTGGGGCCGGCTCCTCCTGCCCCGCTTCGTCCCCCTCCTCCTCCTCCTCTTCCTCCTCCTCTTCCCTCCTCCTCCTCCTCCTCCTCCTCCTCCTCCTCCTCCTCTCCTTTTCCTTATAAATCGGCTCTCCCTGCCGCACCCCTAGGTCAGGTTTCAGGGCGGGCCGGGGGGTTCGCCTGAGACTTCCTCACCATTTATGATTCTGAAACTGAAGAATTCGAAACAGTTTCACAGATGGAGGGCGGGTCGCTTTCACAATGTGGCTCTCGCCTTAGCACCGCGCACATTTATTTTCAACATTGCAAGAGATTCACGGATTGAGGGCGGGTGGTTTTCAAAGTGTGGCTCTCGCCCCAGCGCCGCGCACACTCATTTAAAACATGCGCAAGAGCTTCACGGATTGAGGGCGGTTCCTTTTCGAAATGTGGTTCTCGCCTTAGTGCCGCGCAAATTCTTCTGATTCCCATGATCAGCGTACCAGAAATGGTGTTTTGAAAGGATTCGGGATTATGCGGGTGCAACATTTACGCTGACTCGCGGTATTGAAATCCCAGGAAAGGCGTTCTGGCAATATTCAGGACCGTCAAGACGCAACAGTCAGATTGATCCGTGGCATTGGAATCCCGAGCACATTGTTTTGGCATGCTTCAGGGTCTTCAAACGGTTGCCTTCCAACGAGGCAGTTCCCCCACTGGGAATGAACCGTTTTGGGGGCCTATGAAGAGGGAGCTTGGAGGAAGGGTTTATGCCAACATCGTTGATGACTCTTGGGTTTACACTGGTCCTCCTCCTCCTCCTCCTCCTCCTCCTCCTCCTCCTCCTCCTCCTCCTCCTCCTCCCCCTTCCCCTCCTCGCCAAGCTCTATATCGAAGTTTTGGTGCTCCGCGCGGATTTCTTGGATCTGCGCTTGAGCGCCCTGACGGCGCCTCCAGCGCAGCCCTTGGCGCGCTCCGAGCGCCAGGGAGGGGAGTCCAGCGCAGATCCAAGAAATCCACGCGGAGCGCCAACAGTTTATGCTTATGCTGTTTTTTTTTTCTTCTCTTCTGACCGCGGTATTTTGCACCTGGTCCAACACCTGTGAGGGGTGTGCCAACATTGGCGGGGGGACATTGAGCCAAGCTTGTCTCTGGGGCATCCGGCTGAGCTCCCTGAGGGGCACGATCTGCGTGACAATATTTGTTCTCCGATGCCGAATATTTTGACGGCAACTAGGATTGATTAGAACTCAAGCGCGCGCGAAGCGTACGCGTTTTTGTAGTATTACATATCTCACGGTTCCTCGCACGCGCCATTGGAACTCCAACGTGATGAAGCAATCAAAACGAGTTTTTCTCGAGCATTCTGCCCATAGCCCTGGTGCAGTCGAACAAACGTCTCAGAATGGAAAGCTGGTCCCGGGGAAGGGGTCGAGACCTCCGTGGACGCCGTGTTGAAGTAATCAAGACATCGGTTCCCTGCCGCCATGGTGGGCCTGGACCATGACATCTCCCCGATCTCATTGCCCCCCCGTCTCTTCTTTCAAAATCCAAGGTGCTGATGCCCGCCTTGGCTTTGGACGCCTGGCAGCATGTAGGCGAATGTAAGAACCATTCAGAAGCCATCTTGCAGTCTGCTTCGTTCGACGCCCAGGAGCGCCAGGTCACATGTAACCCCCAGGCGCGGCTGGTCACATGCAACCCCTGGCGGCGGGGGCCTGCGGATACGGCTTGTCGCTCATCCCTGCACTCTCATGCTGGGTTGTTTTCTCCCTGCCGACCGAAGTGTTCATCCCATTTCTCTTCCTCCGAACCAGATTCGCTGGCCCCCTCTGGTCCGCAAGCCATGCCCAGGGCGATGGTGCGCCCCCCACCCCTCTTGCTGGCCTCCTCGTCGTCGGCGCACCCAAGCGGGCGGCTGCCCCTTACCCCCCCATCCGAGGGCGGCATGGCGGTGGTGGTCGTCGGCGGCGGTGTGGCCGGCGCGGTCGCCGCGCTGACGGCCGCGGAGGAGGGCTCTCAGGTGCTGCTGCTCGAGCGCTCCGCGCGGTGCGGCGGCAGCGAGAGCGCGGAGGCCCAGAGCGGCATCGCCACGCTGGGCGGCCTGCTCGGCGCGGAGGGCGGCGCGGCGGGCGCGTGGCTGGCGCGGGCGCTCGGCCTCGAGCTGCGGCCGCTGCCGCCCGAGCTCGCGGGCCACGCCGAGCCTGCGTGCGCGTGCGCGCCCGCGAGACCTGCGCCCGCGGAGGGCGCCGAGGGGGCCGCCGAGGCTGCCGGCGCCTGGGAGCCGGCCGGCCCCGCGGTGGCGGAGGCCCTGGCGCGGGCGGTGGAGGCCGCGGGCAGCGGCGTGCGGGTGCTCTGCGGCGCTCGCGCCGTGCGGCTGCTGGCCGGGCGCGCGGAGGAGCAAGCGCCGCGGGCACAGCCACCGCGCCGAAGGAAGGGCCACTTCGGGCTCGGGCGTCGGTGCGGTGTTCGGGCCGCTCCTCAGAGCAGGGTCGAGGGAGCCTGTTCGAATTCGGCATCGGCGCAAGCATACGGATCCGTGGTCGAAACACCGGCGTAAATTCAGAATCCCGCTCTAATCCCATGCAGTCCCGCTAGATATAAGGCTCAATCTTGGGCTTCATCTCGGCTAGCCTGGCTTCATGGCCCCTTCACCGGGCTCACTTGCTCTATATCGTGTTTTCTGGAGACCATCAAGGAGTTGCCTCCTAACGTGCGACTGCCCTTCCCGCGGCGCCACGGCAGGGCTCGCCCAGAAGTCATGGCCCGAGCGTGTCTCAGGAGAGGCCGTGGCGTAGCGGTTTCAGTGCCTTCCTGGTCTCCCCAGGCACGGCGGGGGTTGCCGCGGCTGCGTCTACGTGGTGGACGGTGAGGAGCGCGTGGCGCTGGGCGCCGTGGTGCTCTGCACGGGGGGCTTCGGGGCGGACTTTGCCCCGGGGTCGCGCCTCGCCCTGCACCGCCCCGACCTGCTGCACCTCCCTACGGGGTGCGGCCCCCACGCCGTCGGGTCGGCCCTCGCGCTGGCCCTGCCGCTCGGCGCGCTCGCAGCGGGCCTGGAGCAGGTCGAGGTGCACCCCCTCGGGCTCGTGAGGGCGGACTGCCCGGACGCGAAGGCGATTCCGGCGGCGGCGGAGGCCCTGCTGTGCGCGGGCGGCGTGCTGCTGGACAAGGACGGGGACCGGTTCTGCGCCGAGGCCTCGAGCGAGCTAGACCACATCGCCCGCCAGATGTGGAAGAGCAGGGGCCCCTTCCGGCTGCTGCTCAACCGCGCCGCGGCCGTGGAGGTGGCGTGCCATTGCCGGCGCTACGTCGGGCAGGGCCTTATGCGGCATTTTCCATCGGGCGCCGCACTGGCGAGAGACATGGGCGTGCCGCTGCGCAAGCTGGAGGCGACGCTGGATGCCCACCACACGGATGCCGCTGGCGCGGCAGGCGGCGGCGGTGCCCTGGAACGGTGGCTCCTCGCTCGGAGCACGCCGGGGGACGAGGTCAAGGCTGAGCCCTTCCTCGTGGCCGTGGTCACCCCGGTGATCAGCGGCTGCCGCGGAGGCCTGGCTGTGGACGGGTCGTGCGCCGTTCAAGCGCACGGCGGCGGCGGCGCGGGCGAGGGCGTCGCGGGGCTGTTCGCGGCCGGCGAGGCGGCCGCCAGCACGGGCGCGGGCGGCCGCGGCGCGGGGTTCCCGCTGCTCGAGTGCGTTGTGCAGGGCCGGCAGGCGGGCCGCGCCGCGGCGGCGGCCGCCTCGCGACGCACCGAGGCCGGCGAAGGCCCAGACGCCTCTCAGCAGGCGCCCGGGCCATCGGGGCAGCTTCGGCCGCATGGCGACAGCGTGGACTCGTCCCCGACGCCAGGGCTTGTCGTGCGCCTCAATGGCGCGCACCCGAGCGGCGCCGCGCCGGGCGTGGCGGACGTGCGCCTGCGCTCTCAGCTCGGGGAGTTGACGCGGCTGCTGGAGTCCAGGCTCACCCCGGCTGCGCTGCAGGCCTCGCTGGCGAAGGCCCACGGCGGCGGAGGCATCGAGTTTGCGGTGGAGGAGCTCAAGGCGCTCCTTGGCCCCGGGGCCGCCGCAGCCGCGGGCGGGCCGTCCGTGACAGTCAGTTTCAGGGATCGCGCGCACGGCCTGCCCACGACCGTGCGATCGTCCCCGCTGCCAGACGAGGGCGCCTGCGCCGAGCTGCCGCTGACCTGCGTGCACTGCCGGCTGCCAGTCACGGCGGAGGTGCTGCGCGGGGGTGCCCTGGCGGACGCAGAGGCGGCGCCCGGGCAGCGCGGGGGCGCGCTGGCGGACGCGGAGGCGGACGGCTCTTGCGCCTACGCGACGTTGCTGTACGGCGACAAGACCGAGTATCCAGCCGCCTGCGGCAGATCATGCCGCCGCGCCAGCGCGGCCTAAGAGTCGATGCAACATGATGGCCTGTCGAGCTCCCCCCAGCAGGCTGGGTATATGGAGCCTCCCCTGGGACTGTCTGGAAGGCAGCGCCGTCATGCTGCAGAGTGCCGTAGATTCTGATGTGTTGTCGCTTCATCGCTTCATGCGAGTCGCGGTGCCTCTCTCGGGTTCCCCGGGGCCGTCTTATGGGGGCTTCGGGGGGGGCATCTTGGGTGCCTCTTGGGCCCTCGCGGGGGGACTCCTGGTCCTCTGTGCGCGATCCATCCGTCTCCGCGGCCTCGCGGGCTGGGCCCTTGGGCCGCGACCCTGTGGATCTGGGGAGGTTTGTTCTCGGATGCCCCGCGCGGAACGCGTCCATACGACCACGTATCCGTTGCGAGGCCCACAAGTATACACCACCACCACCACCCTTCGCCCCCCCTCCCACTCCCAGGAAAGAGAAAGGGAAGAGGAGGGTGGAGGAGGGAGGAGGGAGTGCCGGTGGTGGTGGTGTATACTCTTGGGGCCTGCATCCGCGGGATCGCGCCCTGGAAGCCAGGTGCCTCCCTCGGGCGCGCTCTCGGGGGCGCCGCGGTTCTGCCCGGGCCTTCTCTCGCAGAGGCCGGGCCAGGAGCCGTTCGGGGGGCCGCCGCTTGGGGCGGGCCTGGGGGGCCGTCCCCTGGGGGGGGCGGGGGTCCTCGGGCCTGGCACCGCACGGGCGTGTGCGTGTTGCTCTCGGCGGGGACCCTCGAGGAGCGTCCTGGATCATCGAGGACACATCGGAGGCCTAGAGATTGACACCAACACCAACATCGGCGGTGTGCTTCCACCGAGGGAAGGTGATCCCGATCTCGGCGATGGTGGTCATGTTTGGGCTTCCTAGGTGGGCGACAGATGACCACCAGCACCAAAATCCAGGACCATCTCCCTCCCGTGAAGGTAACCTCTTGTGCTGGTGTTGGTGCTCATCGCCAAGCCTCCAAAAAAACGCGCACGACACCGCAACATGCACGGGGAATAGACGTCCGAGCGATGGCGAGGGGGCCTCTTCTCTGGGGCCTCCAGAGGCGCTCCGAACCACCCTCGAGGCGATCCTCAGCCAGAACTCGAAGAGCGAATGACAGCATACACATACAACAAGATCAACCAACAACATTCCGACTAATAACTGTACGATGTCCGAAAGTAGAAGAGCAAAACCAAACAGCATCTCAATCCGGGGCACCATGGAGGCGCCTCCAGCGCCGCTCCTGGCGCGCGGAGCGCGCCAGGGAGCGGGGGGCCAGCGCAGATCTAAGAAATCCGCGCGGAGTTTCGACAGTTGTTTCTTACTCTATTTAGGCGATCCTCAACCGGCTCCACCAGTGGCTTCCCTGGGCGCCTCCTAAGGGCTTCTTTAGTGCCTCCTGGAGGCTTCGTGAGTGCGAACAGGTTCAATAACACATTTCCGGAGGGTTCAAAACATGATTCTCCAAATTCAACGTTTCTTCTTTGAAAATTTAGTCCCCGAGACGCGATCCGTATAATAAGTTTGCAAACATTTATTAGTTTACTGGTCAGTCGGTGGGTTGGTTGGTTGGTCAGTTGGTTTTCGAGTTGGCTGCTGGGTTGGTTGGTTGGTTCGTTTGATTGTTGGTTCGTTTGATTGTTGGTTCGTTGGTTAGTTGGTTGGTCTGTTGGTTGGTTGGTCTGTTGGTTGGTCGGTCGGTCGGTCTGTTGGTTGGTTCGTCGGTAGGTTGGTTGGTCGGTCGGTTTAGTGGGTGGGTGGTTGGTTTGTTGGCTGGTTGGTTGGCTGGTTGGCCGATGGGCTACTTGGCTGGTTGGCCGATGGGCCTGTTGGCTGGTTGGTAAAATTGGATGGTTACCCGGTTAATTGAGTGGAAGGCTGGTCGATTGGTTGGTCGGTTGGTTGGTTGATTGATTAGTTCATTGGTTGGTTGGTCGGCATGGTTGCCCGCTTGCCCAGGTGGGTCGTCGCTGTTCGAGGGGTTTGACGAATTAACGGGTTGGAGAATTGAAGTGGTGTTGGGTCGGAGGGTTGAGGAGACCGTGGCGGGTTGACGCTTGAAAGTTTGAACGTTCCTGGTTTGACATCCCCTCCGAGTTGATCAGGACCTTCTGGGGTGCCTCGGGCAGTGTGACGGCGAGGATAGTTATGACAATCATGGCAATAACATGATGGGCGATTACGGTGGTGATGATATTGTGATGATGACGACGATGACGATGACGATGAACATGATTATTATGAAGATGAAGATGTTAATGAGTTTTTTGATGAAACTTGTGATGGTTATGCGGATGATGTTGAGGATGTGTATTGGCATTCATATTCGGACGACGGGCGATTCCGACTCCGACTTACGACGACCACGGCTTACACGGACGGTGGCACGGAGGATGAGGAGGATGAGGACGAGGAGGAGCAGCCCCAGGGGGAGATTAGCAGTGTTTTTTTTGGCCAGGGTTAGTAGGGCTATTTTGACCAAGGCCGGAACATATTGAATGCAATGCAACGCAATGCAACGCAATCATCGCATCGCAGTGCAATGCAATGACACGTGACGCAGTGCAACGCAAGGCATTGTAACGCAATGCGCGCCTCGTCGCGTGTCAGCGCCGTTGGGGCCCAAGAAAAAACAATCCCGCCCCACTCGTCACATGGCAATGGTTGGGCGGGCGAACAAATATTATCCCACTCTGCCCGTCACGCGGCAGTACCGCGGTGTCCGAAGACAAATTCGATTTTCCTCTATTCGCCATATACAAAATTATAGAGGACTCTTGAGCACCTGATGGCACTCTACTTCGTGCCGTAAGACGCGGTGGCGGAGTAAGCCACGACGACGACGACAACGACGACGACGACGATGAGAAGGACCAGAGGAGCGAACAACATTACTATCCTTTCCTCTTCATGGTCCTTCTCCCTTCCCCCTCCTTCATCCTCCCTCCTTCTTCCCCCCTCCCGCCTCCTCCTTTCCTTTGTCACTCCTCCTGCCTCCCCTCCTCTCTACTTCTGTCTGTTCTCCTCCTTCCCTGTCGTCCCCCCCCCTCGCTCGCAACCTAGTGCAACTCAAAGTACTACAAACGCAAATTCTACACAATGCAATGCAACACAATGCAATGCAATGCGCTCCAACGCAATGCAGCGGCACAGCATGCAATGCAATACAACTCATCGCAGCACCAACGCAATGATCTGCAACGCAATGCCACGCAATTCAATGTAATACCTCATCCCTTCTCCCTCCTCCCCCTCTTCTGGTGCCGGAGAAAATGTTTAAACCCCCGCAGCCCAGGCCTCCACCGGGCCACGAGACGGCGTCGATCGGCTATTTTTTGCACAACGCTCCCACGGACCGTGCCTCCAGGGTCAGAACACATTGTTGGAACCCTCAGGAATTTGTTCGAACCGCATTTTGAAACATGTCTTGAAGTTTTCATCTGCAATGTGCTTGATGCCCAACCCTCGTGGGTCCCCTGAATGATGCCTCTTGGGGGTATCGGTGGTGCCTCTGGAGGGTCGTCCTGCTCGGGAAGGTGCCGGGGCCGCCTGGTCGGACCTCGAGGCCGCCTTGAAGCTCTCTCGGGGCGGCTTGGGAGCACCCGGGCCGCCCCTTTGAAGCGTCTCCCAGGGGCGCGGAGCACGCCAGGATCCGAGAGATCCGCGCGGACCTCCCAAAGCTTATAAAGTAGAGGCCCATGCCAAGAAACACCCTGCTTGCCTCCAGGGTGCCTGGAGTTTCGACGGTTTTGCGGTTTTGCTATGGAAAGCGTGACGGTCCCACACCAAGAATCCATGGACGTCCTGGGTTCTCAGGGTTGGGTTTCTTGTGGCAGGTTCCTTGTGGACTGGCCTCCACTGTATATGTTTATGCAGTTGGTGATGCTCCACTGAAACCTACTGACACCCATTTGAGCCAAACAGTCAATACTCATGGATGCTAACGCGCCCCGACGCGCCGAGGGCACGGGGGCGGACTTCCTCGGCGCGCTCGTCATAGGGTGGTCGATCAAGGCCACGGGCTCGACGATCGACCGCCTGTTGCTCCACACAGACGACGTGCCAGGGCCCTTCCGGAGGGTGCTCGAACGGGTGTGGACTCTCCGCCACGTTCAGTATTTGGAGGGCTCTTCGAGGCTCTACAAGAATTACAACCAGTCCCGCTTCAAGGCAGTCTTCACAAAGCTGCAGGCGCTTAGCTGCACGGACTACTCCAAGGTCCTGATGCTGGACTTGGACATGCTTGTGAGGCAGAACATTGACGAGCTCTTCAAGCTGCGAGCGCCAGCGGCGCTGAAGCGCTCGTCTGGCAAGGAGCAACCTGCGCATGGCGGCCCATTCTACGCCTCAGACTTGTGGCGCACTTCCGCGGACGACATGTGTTCGGGTATCAACGCGGGCGTGATGCTCCTACAACCCGACGTAAGGATATACGAGAGGATGGTCGCCGAGATCAAGGACAGCCGCCATCCAGAGCACATAGGCACGTACGGGCCAGAGCAGGACTACCTCAGCCGCTTCTATGCCACCTTCCTCAGAGGAGCCTGGACGCACATCCACGCGCGCTTCAACTATCAGCTGATGCTGCCAGACGACTACGTCTCCTCCGCGCACCGCAAGGTCGACCTGCAGCGGGACGTGGCCATCACGCACTACAGCGGGCCCCGCGTGAAGCCGTGGAAGAGCGCTACGGACCTGGACGAGGAGGGCGTGCGGCGGCTCCTGAGTGACGACTCCGTGCTGGCGGCCTTCGGGGGCGAGCCGGGGCGCGAACCGAGGTTGGACGCCTTCTCCTCCTCCTCCTCTTCCTCCTCCTCCTCCTCCTCCTCCTCCTCCTCCTCCTCCTGCCCTTCCTCCTCCTCGTCCTACCCCTCCTACCCCTATCCTTCTCCTCCTCCTCCTCCTCCTCCTCCTCCTCCTCGGCGAGGGCGGCGCAGCCAGACGCGGCGCCGCCGCCCGAGCCGAAGACGCGGGTCATGGACGGCGTCACGGTCGTTGACAACGGCGGCGCGTCATCGCCGAGGCCGAAGCTTTCACGCGCCCACCGCCTCCTCGGGTCCCGGGGGCGTCGACTCCCCAGGGCGGCGGTTGCTGCTCTACGGGGCCCGAGCATGCACACCACCACCACCACAACCTGCCTCACGCCCTCCCTCCTGGGAGAGAGGAGGGAACGGGAGGGCGGGGGAAGGAGGGGGAATGGCGGTGGTGGTGTACATTCTTGGGACCCGCACGCTCCGCAGAGAGTACGCGTACACCGCCACTGTATCCTGGCCAGGGCCATCTTGGGCCCCAGGCTGGCACTGCAGACCCCTCTGGCCTCGCCCAAATGGTCGCGTGCACCAAGCCGAGGGCCCAGGATGGCTGTGACTAGCCCAAGACATCCGCCGATCTGCCGTTTCCCATCGGAGGGCCCCACAACAAAACTTCCTGGGACCAGTTCTTCGCCCTGGATCCACTTCGGACGGCCCATGGGGCCCGATGATGACGGGCCCCATGGGTCGAAATGTAGAGAGAGAGAGAGAGTAGCAGCGCCCATGCTGAGAGCATCACGTCGTCGCAGGTCTGGCTGGTCGCGTCCGGGCACCTTCTCCGGTCGCCGCGGAATTGAACACGGAAGAACGAGCAACACACACACACACCCATACCCACACAAACACAAACACACCCATACCCACACAAACACACACACCCATACCCATACCCACCCATACCCACAGCAACACACACAAACACACACACACAAACCATACACAAACCACACACACACCCATACCCACACAAACATAACACACACAAACATAACACACACACACACACAAAAACCACACCGGAAGAAGGAACAACCCCCCACACACACACACACACACACACACACACACACACACACACACACACACACACACACACACACACACACACACACACACACACACACACACACACACACACACACACACACACACACACATACACAAACACACACACACACACCCATACCCATAGTCCGAGTCTCTTGATATGCGTCGGGGGGGCGCCAACTCCGCCGACAGCCCCGCATCCCCGTCGCGGCGCGACGACGAGGCGAGGTTGACCCCCGTCGGGGGGGGGCCCCCCACGCTTATGAAGAAACCCAGAGTAGGCGAGTCGTTGCGAGGAGGACTGACTGTGGGCATGGGCGCGGGTTGTCGGACACTGGGGGATGCTCCCGTTCGAGCGGGAACCCCCATCCGACCACACGCACCCGTAGCCTTCTCCGACTCTCCTATGGGTATGGGTGTGTGTGTGTGATGTTCGGCCCTCAAACAGGGAAGAACGGCGTAAGCACGAATGGTCGGAGGTCCGCGCGGATTCCTTGCATCGGCGCTGGGCCTGGCCGCCCTGGCTGGCGGCGCTTTCGGCGCCGCCCCCGGCACGCTCCGCACGCCAGGGCGGGGTGCCCAGCGCCGCTCCGAAAGTCCTCCGAAAGTCCTCCTCCTCCTCCTCCTCCTCCTGTTTTCTCTGCTCCCCCGTGCATCAGCGACGCGCCCGGGGGGGGAGTGAGAGGGGGCGGGCCTTCTCAGGAGGCGGCTGGGCTTCTCAGAAGCCCTCGCGCCTTCCGAGAAGGCTGTTGTGTCTTCGGAGAAGGCTCAGAAATCTGTTCGGAAGGCCGTGTGAGGCCTCCCGAGCCTGCTGCGAAGGCCCGCCCCGTCTGAGGGGCGCCCGACTTGATATCGGTCTCGGCCACTTCCGTAACGCCGGCTCGTGCAATACAGTGGAGGTCCTGTATTTTGCTAGTTGTGGTGTGGAAAGCGTGACGTTCCCACACCAAACATCCATGGACGTCCTGGGGTCTGAGGGTTGGGTTTCTTGTGGAAGGTGGGCCTGCACTGTATATGTTTATGCACTTGATGCACTGGGTGGACTGGCCTCCACTGTATATGCTTATGCAGTTGGTGGTGTTCCTTTGAAACCTACTGAAGTTCGATTGAGCCAAAAGAGTCAATACGCATGGGTGCCTCGGAAGCCTGGCAAGGGCTGCTAACTCCGTGGCTGCTAAAATCGACCTCCGGGAAGTTGTCTTCGTCCTTCCGGGAAGAAGCCCGTTGACTGTTTCGCGTGCCTCGCCTCATTCCGGGAAGTTGTTTTTTCATTCCGGGAGGGCCGTTTTTGCAGCCACGGTTTTAGCAGCCCTCGCCCAGCTTTCGAATGCCAACGCGCCCCGACTTCGCCGAGGGCACGGGGGCTGTGTGCGCCGAGATTTGAGCCTGCTGGACGTGCTGCCCCCAGCGCGCCGCCGAGTGGAAGCTCCGGCCTCGGGCCGTCGGCCGTGCCAGAGGGCGTGCGGGAGCTGATGTGGGAGTGGGTGCTCGCCCTGCGCGGCTGCGCCGAGGGCCTCCGGGCCGAGGGCGTGGACCTCGGAGGAGGAAAAGGTACCCATACCTCTACCTCCTCGCCCGTTTTGGCCCTTGTTGTCCCTCCTGGGAGGCCCTCGTCGCCACCGCTGGATTCGCCTCGAAATTCTGGTCAGAACGCACCGCGGGAGAGGTCCGAGGGGGTAGCGGTATCCGTACCTTTTGTTTTTCCCCAGGACTTGCTGGCGGTGGTGGCGGAGGCGCAGCGGCCGTCGCCGAAGGCCCCGCCAGGGCCGCCAGCTGCAGAAGTCGGGGGTCCATGCAGAGGGGACGTGTGTCGGGGGGGGGGGCTCGATCGGCTTCGGCACCGAGCCTGCCAGAACGGATGCCCCCCAGCCGCCGGCAGGTCCCGACAGTTGCCGGCAGGTGGGGCATGCGGGGGGCATCTGTATGCGGCAGTGCGGTGCACGCTCGGATCGAACTCGTGCCCCCCCTCAGGGTCACCCCTCCTTTGGTGTATCCCACAGACGACGGGGGTCCATGCAAATGGGGTCCGGTCAGAGCGCCAGGTCTTGCAGAGTCCTGCAGGGCTAGGGCCGCATTAGCGCGCGGGGTCCTGCAGGATCCTGCAAGGCCCGACCGACCGGGGCTTGGATTGACCCGGGTCAGTTCCCCTCCAAGAAACACGAAGGAAGTTTTCTGTTATTTTCTGGCCTCGGGACCGTTAAAAAGATTCAGGATAAAAAATCGGTCACGGGGAATGGGTCGAGACTTTCTGGGGCCGACGCCATGAACAAATCATTACACCACGGGTCGAGGTCTAGGCCTCCCAGATGGGGTACGAGTAGACGGTGGATGGGGTCGGAGGATCGCGCCGCATCGCCGATACATCGCTGATGTGGTTCGATGTAGAGTCCGATTTTCTCCGCGCCGACGTCGCCCATGCACCGCCGACGTCGCCGATGCACCGGCGATACATTGGCGATTCAGTGTAGTCCTCCGACCCCATCTATTCGGACCCCTCGTGGGAGGCCTCTACTCCCAGACATCCATCGTACTCACAATATCAGGACGGGATTGTGTTCGTCGGCGTTGGCTTCTGGGGGCCCTCGCTGGGCTGCAGGTCTGTCGAAGACCGACTCCTGATGAAAAGCCGGCCCTGGAGAGAGGGCCGGGACTCCCAGAGACTCTGACGGGCCTGTTTTCCACCACCACCACCATAAGTTGGAGGGGATGGGGGTCCTCCTCCTCCTCCTGCTGCTCCTCCTCCTCCTCCTCGTCCTCCTCCTCCTTCCCCCTCCAACGTATGGTGGTGGTGGTGGTGGTGGAACATAGGCCCATCAGCATCAAGGCGTCGGATGTCTGGGCTCCAATGCATCCCTCGTCCCTCCCTCGCTCGTGCCTCCCCCCTGTCTCCCCCGTCCCCGTGGACGGGCTGGCGGTGTTCTCCCACACGGCATGGTCGTTTTCAGCATCGTAGGTCGGACTGGCTTGTCGCCGGACCAGAGGCGGGAAAGCGCGGTCCTTAGACCGTTTTGTGCCCTTCTCGCCCGACTCACCGAGAGGTTTGAGGTGTAGGAAAGCGTGGCCTGCGTCTGCCTACAACTGCTCCTGCGCGCGCTGATTGTCGTGTCGCAGGCACCAGATTCCATATCGCACCGTTGACCATCGGAAGCCTGGCAAGGGCTGCTAAATTCGACCTCCGGGAAGTTGTCTTCGTCCTTCCGGGAAGAAGCTTGTTGACTGTTTCGCGTGCCGCGCCTCATTCCGAGAAGTTGTTTTCTCCTTCCGGGAGGGCCGTTTTAGCAGCCACGGTTTTAGCAGCCCTCGCCCAGCTTTCGAGGTGACCAGTCACGCCGTCCGCCCAGAGCCCCCCCTTCGTCTGCCCTTGCGGCCTCACCTCTCCCTCCTTCCTCCCTTCGCCGCCCGGTCTCCAGAGCTCCCTGGGGGCCTCGAGCCGGGGGTCTCTGCCGGAGGCCCCAGGACGCCCCGCGGGGGCGAGAGGGATCCAGCGCCTCGATTCTCCAGGTCACCCGCGGAGGCTCGCGGAGGTGGAGCTCTGGCCCCGAAGCAGCGGCGCGAAGGCGCGTGGGAAGACCTCGCCGCGCGCATCGCGGCGGGGCGCGGAGCGCGACGTCGCTGGCGCCGCGAGCCTCGCGCCTCGTAGATATCGGGGGTGGACAGAACCCCCAGCAGTGACACGTCGATTAGTGAATTGTCCGTTTTTCGGTTCTCGAGAGGGCGCCGTGGCCGTTATTTTCCACCCTTGCGCGCGCCAGGTTTGGGCTTCAGGTCGTTTTCACTAAACCACGTTTTACTAAAGGGGGGTCTGTCCATCCCCGAATATAGCTGGCGGCGGCGTGACCAGGGGTCATCGATGCTTCTTGCTCCTTCCCCGCTGCCGAAGCTCTCTGAATGAGAGAGGGGGAGAACTGAGGAGGAGGAGGGGGACGACGACGACCAGTGTCAATGAACCCAGGACTCCTCAACGATGTTGGAATGAACCCTCCTTCAAGCTCCCTCTTCACAGGCTTCTACAAAGGTTCATTTCCTCTGAGGGAGCTGCCTCGTTGGGGTACAGCCGTTTGAAGACACTGTAGCGTGCCAAAACATCATTCTCGGGACTCCAACGCCGCGCATCAACCTGACTGTTGTGTCTTGACGATCATGCATCGTGGTAGAACGCCGCTCCTGGGATCTCAACACCGCGAATCAATGTAATGGTTGCGCCCTCGCAATCCTTAGTCATTTCAAAACATCTTTTCCAGTACGCTGACCATGGTAATCCGAGAATTGTTTGCGCTTTGTTTACGGCGAACGCACGCGGCGCGCCACATTTGGGGAAGGAATTAGCCTCAATCTGAAAAGCTCTTGCAAATGTTTGCAGCGAATGCGTGCGGCGCTAAAGCGAGAGCAACATGTTGAAAACGGCTTGCGCGGCGCTGAGGCGAGAGCGACATTTTGAAACCCACCCGTCCTCAAGCCGTGATACTCTTGCAATTTATTGAAACGAATGCGCGCGGCGCTGAGGCGAGAGCCGCATTTTGAAAACCACCCGCCTCTCATTTGTGCAACCGTTGCCGATGGTCAAGCTTCAGGGTCAAAAAGGCTAAGAAAGACTCAGGCGAAACACCCGACCCGCCCTTTCGACTAGCCTCGAGGTGCGACAAAGAGGAGTTATTTGGCAAGGAAAAGGAATGGAGACGCAGGAGGAGCAGGAGGAGGAGGAGGAGGAGGAGGAGAAGGAAGCGAGGGAGGAGGGAGCAGGGGGAGAGGAGGTGGAGGAGACGGGGGACGGAAGGGAGGAGGGCACACGGGGGGATAGGAGAAGAGGAGGACGACCGCCGCCGCCGCTCCCGCGCGTTCCCGGCGCCGCTCTCTCTGGCCGCGCGCAGTGTCCTTGGCCGGGCCGGCCTGTTGGTGTGCGGCACCGCTGGGAGGGGGCGATCGAAACGGGTGCGAAAAGGATGAGTACGAAGACCGACAGCAGTTCTTTGTCCGTTCTGTATATTGTGTGTTGTCGGCGTCGCCGCGGAGTTTGTCCACTTGAGACAGAAGGCTGCCTACCCAGCAGCGGCCGCTGTCGGTTTTGGACAGCAGTTGTGATTGGGTATCGTACGTACCCATTCGTCCGCACCCATTTCGGGCGCGCCAGAGGCGACGGCAGGGGCGGTCGTGGGGCGTCTCGTGGGGGCAGTGCACCAGATGAGAAAAACATGCCGATGCCGCCGCTCGTCCTGGAGAGCCCTCGTCACCACGGCTAGTCCATTTCGGGCGTCCACGGGGAGTCCTCTTCCTCCTCCTCCTCCTCCTCCGCCTCCTCCTCGAAGGGGGGGGGGGGCAGACTGAACCGCGCAGGGCCGCCACCTTTGGCAGCGCGGACAGCGGCCGACCGGTCGAGCGCCAGAGGGCCAGTGCTGCCCGGAGCCTGGCTTCTGTCGGCCCCCCCGCCCTGCGGGCGGGGCGACTCTTCCCAGAGCTGAGCTGCGGGGAGCAAGCCAGGCAAAAGGAGGCAAGTGCGAAGGCACGTGCAGCACTCCAGGTGCATCGACATACGCCCACGGCGGCAATCCGGGTGAATCTGGAGGAGTCGTGGGAGCTCCAGCGCTGGCTGGGGGACAGCAGGAGTGGTTACGCCCTCAACAGCCCCACCCACGCCCCTCTTCATCATGGTCCCATCGCGACGGGGCCCGGGCATCTCGGCCCCACCAGCCCGGAGGGAGCAGCGTCACGTGCATCCCCACCGAGCACCCAGGAAATGTGGGTAGTCGGCATGCGGGGCCGAGGCCATGCCAGTGGGGATGGGGGATCGGTTCACTTCGGCGTTTTCAAGATGGGGCCCTGAGGGAGGGGGGACGAAAGAACGAATGGCCTCAAACAGCGAAGGTTCGACTCGAGATCCCGTTCCTGTACTCAGGGCCCATGTCGATCCGATCGATCCGATTCGGTGTCTGTTTCGGCCAGTTTGATCTGACTCGATTCCGGTGTTCCCATGGTCCGATGGCCCGATGCGGCCCGATGCTTGCATGGCTCTGCTGTGCAGTCTGGCGCAGCCGATCCGATCCGATTTCCCGATCCGATGCTGACCGATGCTGCCCTCGGGGCCCCCGTCCCTCAGGGCCCCCACCTTCGAACCCGCCCTGGAACGACTGCTTGCCTCGCCCCCGCGCTCCTCGGCAGGCGCCGCGGCCCGCGGCGCCGCCCGCCCGAGCGGAGCCCGCGGGCTGAGCCCGCGCGCACGCGCACGCGGCGGTGGAGGTGGAGGAGGCGGAGGGGGGGGAAGGGAGGGGGGAGGGAGCACGCGGGGGGAGAGGAGGTGGAGGAGGAGGGAGGGAGAAGGGGACACGAGGGAGGGCGGGGGGAGAGGGGAGGGGAAGGAGGGTGTGGAGGAGGAGGAGGAGAGGGGAAGGAGGGTGTGGAGGAGGAGGAGGAGGAGGAGGAGGAGGAGGAGGAGGAGGAGGAGGAGGAGGGGAGGGGAAGGAGGGGGTGGAGGAGGAGGAGGAGGAGGAGGAGGAGGAGGACGACCGCCGCCGCCGCCGCCCCCCGAGCGGCCCGGAGCGGCGGTGCACCAGCGGGCCAGTCGGGCGGGGCCAGGGCGAGGATAAATCTGTTCTGAGCAGTGTTCGCCGCCCGTCCACCATTCTCTCTTCGGCCGCGCGCAACATGATTGTCCGGGGCGGCCTGTGGGTGTGCGGTACCGCTAGGGGGGATAGGAGGAGAGGAGGAGGAGGAGGAGGAGGAGGAGAAGGAGGAGGATGTGGCCATGTTGCTCGCACGGCGACGGCGATGCGCATTCACTTGGCCAAAGAACGCAAGCAGGGTAGGACCCCATATGATTTCGCCGTCGGTGACACGTGTCAGATTTGCCTTCATAATTTCGGCAACCACGCCCGCCTTGCTAAACACTCTGCTGCTGCTAAGCAGTGCTTCTTCGCCGTTCTTAATGTTAACAGGCCCCCCCTGATGAGCTCCAGCAGGCTCGCGAGGCTGCCAGACACAGGAAGAAGGGTATGCCCGCTAACTTTGCGAACAGGGCCCCAGTTCGCATGATTGGGCCTGCTTTGACCCCCAAGTGGCGCGGTGCCATTCCGCCATCTGCTCCTCTCACCCCCTTGGCTGCCCCCCCTTCTCCTGCCTGGTCGCCTCCCCCGCTTGTCATCCCTGCCAAGCCCCGTTGCAGCTCTCGCCTGGTTATTGTGCTGTGCTCCGAGGGAGAGTGTTTGTGTAACGTCATGGCGCGCTGGCAAGCCCACGCAGCCGAGACGAATCTCTCCATCCAATTGGCCCTTGTGACGGACCCCTCACGTGGGACAGTCAGCTCGAACAGCTGAGCCAAGACTGCAAGGGGGGTAAGATTGCGGGATTCCTCTTAACCCCCTCGTTGCGCACGATGTGGCCCGCTCACAAGACTGGCAACAAGAGCCTGACGAGGTCCTCCGACCACCCTCTCGGCAGCCCCTCGCTCAGAGCGGTCGCCGCCGACCACGTCCGCTTGGACAACGCTGCGCTGCTCAGGAGGAGGAGGAGGAGGAGGAGGAGGAGGATAAGGAGGAGATGGAGCAGGAGGAGCAAGAGGAGCAGGAGGAGCACGATGGGGGCAAGGAAGACGACGCGGAGGAGGAGGAGGATGGAGCGAGCGATCTACCGACGACGACGACCCCCAGACAGCGGACGAGGGCGACGCGCTCGCGGGCGGTGGAGAGAACACATCGTTGACAAGAGCGCATCCAACCTACCGCGTCCAAGACCAACCACGACGGCCTCGACCATCGCATAATCCAGAATCGCAGCAACGGTAAGAACCAGGGAGAAAAGCGAACAAGTAGAAGACACACCCTGTTTCCACGCCCATACCCCGTTGCTGCCCCGGCGAGGAAATCACAGGACTAGGTCGGGGCGGCCCGATCTTGGGCCCCGTTGTAATGTTTCCAATTCATATGGCGGCCTCTTCTGAATGTTTTTTCCCGCGTTGGCTGCCGTTGTCGAAAGCCACTTCCCAAAAACAGGAGTGCAAATGATATTTCGGATTGCCGTCTTGGGGTTCTTGACTAGAACCATCGCGCGCGCTTCGCCCTCGCCCCCCTTCAACGTGTCATGGGGCCAATGATATAGCGCGTCAGGCGGGCCGTGTTTGGACGAACGAATCCTTAGCTTGGAAGTGTTCACCTTGGCCGCTGAAGTCACAGTGAGGATTGGTTTCACGGCAGTCCTGGACCATCCTGTTGGTCAATGGTTTAGGGTTTTCCATTTGGTCGATGTGGGCCTCCGGGGCCATCTTAGAGCCACGCGTTGTGAACGCATGGAGATTCCAGCAAACAAAAGAACACGCGTTGGGGGGAATTGCTTTGGGTTTCGACTGGTGTGGCCCTCTTGGAGATATCCTGTGTGGGCACTCCGGCGGCTTCTCGAGCCTTCGCCGTGCTGCTGGAAGTTGCCTTAGGCAGCCTGGGAGCCTCCTATCAGGAGGGAAAGAAACACACAGACACAACGAATCGTCGACGCCCAGGAAGAGATGGGAAGTTATGGGGAGCGGGGGGGAAGACGAAAACCCAACGAAAAACATGGGAAACCATAGGGGAACCCTGTTGCCTGTGTCTATTTCTTTGTGTGTCCCTGGGCCCCTTCCTCCTGGGACCGTCGCTCGGCCCTCTGGGAGCTTCTGCTCCGCTAACGGGGGCCTCTTGGGAACCTTGGGCGGTTCCAGGAATGCTCACATGGGAGAGGCGCATCCTCCTGCCCCTCCTCCTCCTCCTCCTCCTCCTCCTCGTCCTCCACCTCCTCCTCATCCTCCTCCTCTTCCTCCTCCTCCTCCTCCTCCTCTTCCCCCTCCTCCTCCTCCTCCTCCTCCTCCTCCTCCTCCTCCTCCTCCACCTCGTCCTCCCCCTCCTCCTTCCTCCTCCACCACCACCTCGTCCTCCCCCACCTCCTCAAGGGGCCTTGGGTGCCACGTGCGCGCTGCGGCCTGCAGCCGCCGGGGCCCTTCGAGCCAGGTTTTCCGCCCGCTCCGCCCCAGTTTGTGATTTCGTCGGCTCTGCGTTGCCCGGGGGGGGGGGGGCGCGTAGGGAAATCACCACATTAGGGTCTCCCTTTGTTTTTGTTCGTTCCCCCTCTCCTTCTCTTTCTGTATCTCTTTCTTTTATCTCTTCCTCTTTGTTTGTGTTGTTTTGTGTCTCTCTCTCTCTCTCTTTCGCTCCCCCTCTCATTCTCTCTCCGTTTTCGCATTGCCTGTCCGTCAATCCAGTGTGCCTGCCTGCCTTTTTGTCGGCGTCGGGCGCGTCGGCGCATGCGTGCGCGCGCACGCGTGTGTGTGTGTGTGTGTGTGTGTGTGTGTGTGTGTGCGTGTGCGCGCGCGCGCGTCTCGTTGTCGTTTCTTGCGCAGCCCCCCGCGGCCCCGCGGGCCAGGTTTCTCCCATGTCTCCGCCCTGGTCTGGTGGTTTCTTCGGCTTTGTGCGTGTGGGGGGGGCGCGCAGGGAAATCACCAAGCTAAGGTCACTCCTTTTTGTTGTTTATGTTCCCCTTCTTTTTTCTCTCTCCTATCTCTCTCTGTATATCTATATATATATATATATATATGAAAGAACCGCTGCTGGCGGAAAACCGGGGGGGGTCACTACCGGTTCGAACCCCTCCCCCCCCCCCCCTCCGGAAAACCGGGGGGGGTCACTACCGGTTCGAACCCCTCCCCCCCCCCCCAGCTCATCATGAAAAGGGGGGGGGGTCACTACGGTTCGAACCCCTCCCCCCCCCCCTCTCGAAAACCCAGTGGGGGTGCGGACAGAGGTGGGGACGGTGTTGGTGGACAGTGGTGAGGGGACAGCGGGACACTGGTGGGGACAGTGGGACAGTGGGACAGTAGAGGGCCGGTAGTGGTGGGGACAGTGGTGAGGACAATGGTGGGAACAGGGGGGACAGTGGACAGTGGTGGGCACGGTGGTGGTGGGGACAGCGGTGTCGGCACAGTGGGAATGAGGTGGAAACAATGGGACAGTGGAGGGTACAATGGTGGTGGGGACAGTGGTGAAGGCGGTGGCGAGGACGGCGGTGGGACAATGGGACAGAGGTACAGTGGGGACAGTGGTGGGGACAGTGGGGACAGTGGTGGGAACAGTGGGACAGCTCAGTGGGACAGCGGCGGAGTCAGTGGGACAGTGGGGACAGTGGGGATAGTCGGGCAGTGGTTGGGGCCGTGGAGACAGTGGGGAGAGTGGAACCGTGGTGGGAACAGTGGCGGGGACAGTGGGGACAGTGCGACAGTGGTGGGGGCACTGGTGGGGACACAGTGGGGACAGTGGTGGTGAGGACAGTGGTGCTGGGAACAACAGTAGAGGATGTGATGCGGACGGTGGTAGGGACCGGGAGTCGTTTGCTGGCGGTGAGTGGGGGGGTGGGGAGGTGGGATGGGCGGCCCGCTTGTTAAGCGTTTGCAGTCTGGTAGCTGAACTTGTACACGAGTTGTAAGTATGTTGTAAGTCTCGCTAGCCTCGCCCATGTGGGCCTTACCTGTTATAGGCGCACCTATGTAGATAGCGTTTCTAAGTAAACGATTATGGAAGATATACAATTTCGTAACTAACTTACGGCTAACCCGACAAGCTGGTTATGCCTATATGACTAACCTAGTACAGCAGGTTACGTAACTAGGATAGAACCCCTGCGTAACCTAGATCGTGTCCTGGTTAGCTAACCTAGTTAGTTGAACCTGCTAACCCTGGTTATAGCACACATGAGGCACCAACAAAACACAGCATGTTGTACATATTGTGTGTCCCCCTAGCAGTTTGCGACAAGGTGATTGAAGAATTTTCTTGGACGGGCGTGAGTTTGGGGGGAACGAAAGACACAACTAGAACGACACATCGACCAAGATAAAGCAAACCGCATCAGAACAACACTCACATCGCATTCAAAGTCGTAGCCATTTTGGCTCAAATGCATCATGGCCCGCGCGATATTTCTCCGTCGTGCAATCACCCATACGTTTCTTCTTTCGCTGATATTTCATATGATGTCAACCCGTAAGCCTCCAAGTGGTCAGGATTTGGACACTATAGTTGAGTGGACCAACGCACTGATCAGCGATGTTGGCGACGCCGAGACTGATCCCAAGGGCCAGAAGGCCGTAGCAGATTCAATACTTGAGTTGCTCTTGAAAAGTGGCTCCGCACGGAAAGTACGCATAGAACCCAAACGCATTGCCCCACATCCACACAACCGTTACGGCGTTGGGG